ATAGTACTATATATATATATATATATATATATATATATATATATATATATATATATATATATATATATATATATATATATATATATATATATATATACTATCAAAATCTTTATCAATTGGATTAATTGACACCTTCTAATTTGAACTATATTAATCCAAGATAAGATAAAATAATTTACGAGATACTAAAAAAATCTCAAAGTAGTTTTAAATCAGTTCAAGTGACATAGGGCTAAATGGTGTTTCTAAGATATAGTCCATAATTAAGCCATTATATAACCTTACAAATAATATTATTAAATGGAAACTTGTGCATATATTTTATTATGAGCTTAAAATTGGTCATCCGAGATCATTTGTCTGACTTAGAGATCATTTGATGACTTAGTCATCCTTGACCACATGTATGAATATAAGACTCAAAGCACGATACAACTTGTAATAATATAGAATAGTTGATGGTGCAAGCATAATCTAACAATGAAAGTTAGGGAGTTCATGATTCATATCACATTATATGTATCTGTATGTATGTATGTAAGTTGAAAGGAGACCTACAAGATCTCACTTTTCTATCTTCTCTCATCCTCTATGTCTAAGAAAAGTATTTCTCTCTTCAATATTAAAGGATACAAAATTATCCATCTAATGTTTATAGATGATATCCTCTTACCATAATATACGTATAAACACTCATATATGGGATTATAAAATAAAAATAAAAAATATTTATAAAATAAAAAAATTATATATTTCTAGCAACCTAGACGGGGATTTGAATGTTTATTTCAAATCACAAAACTTCTTGCAAGAGCACTTATATATGGGATTTGAATGTTTATCCAAAAATTAAAATCTTTATTTCTCTCTAACTTTAACAAAATGTTAAAGTATTTTAACTTTTAATATTTTGAACATAATTTTTTGATTTAAACAAAATTAATATATTAATTCCACTTAAGAGTGCATAACCTATAATTTGGTAAATATATGCTATAATAATACATTTTCTGTTTGGTCGGCGGATCTTTATATTGGAGGGAGAAAAGGATTCCTTATTCAAATAGGGAAAGGATTCAAGACCGTATCCGACCGAGTATGTTTTAATGGATTCAGCCCCCCCCCTTTGTTTCTCCATAAATCGGTTCTGCGGTGAGTGTGTGGTGTCGAAGACATCCTAAGGTTTCCCAGAAACATACGAGTCTTTCTTGAGAATGCAGATTTCGAACTTGGATTTCTTTGTTGTTGTTAGAAAGCGAAGAATCTGAGCTCTTCTCCATGGGTGTCTGCAAGAGTGCGAAATCACGTAATCGCTATTTCAGGTTTGCGTTCCATTCTTGGTTCTGATGATTGCCTCTCGATAAAGTACAAACGTACATAGGAAAGGTCCAAGTCTTCTCCTGGTCAAACAAGTCGGCAGTGGCATCCAAGTCAACGATTCACTCTCCGCCTCTGCTTTGCTGCTGAAGGTGGCCTTTTTATCTTCTGACGAAATTTTCTGCCCCTTGCAGGCCGAGAAGGAAGGAGACGAGGTCCACCGAAGTGAAAAGAAGGCGCCTTTTAGCCTTTCAAGGGATTTCTCTTTTTCGGCTCTTCGGCAAGCGTGTCCAGGAAATGTCGGTGAGTGCTCTTTTGGCCTCTTGAACGCCTTCTAGGATGTTATCCTGATTCAAACTCTTGGTGGAAATGATAAAAAGTCCCGATTTTGGGCAGTCTGGTAAGGTTTAGCAGATAATTAGGGTTTTCGACTTCTTTTTTGTTACAAGAGAGCTGTTGATGTTATCTATCGTACTTCTTTTTTGGGTATCAAGGAGGTTCTTGATTAGTCTTTGCACAATCGATAGGGTTTGGGGGCACCATTATTTATCTTTTCTTCGGTTCGCTCTCATTATGATTTCTCCGGATATCATGTGAAATTTCAAGTTTAATGTGTATGTTCTTCTATCAGTTAAATTCGACTTTTAATGTGCTGCTTCCTCGGGGATTGAATTCGAGCTTTATGATTTTTGTAACGAGTTAGCGATTGGTGTTGATGCCTTCCAATTTCCTCTTCTGATGGGGATTCATGGTCTGGCACCGATCACGAATTGGGACACCCGAATATAGTTGACAACTTGCATATCCATGATGATGGCTAAGAAATGGGAAGTTCTTGGGAGCATTTGTTATGATCACAGCAGTCCTGCTAGATTAAGTTGTTAAACCTACTATCCCAGGTGCTAGTTGTAAGAGTCGAGTTGAACTCTAGACTTGCTTGAAAACTTAGTGTTTCCTCTGAGGCTTTCTGACATATGTTGTGTTCTTGATGAAGATTTTTCAGCGTGAAGTTGTTTCTTTCATGTTAATCATATGGTTGTTGCCGGGTTAAGTCTGGTGGTTCTGCAATTATCTATAAGCAACTAGTCATTTGTGCATGTGAAATTAGATTTGATGTTTATAAAACAGAGATAATGGATTTTAGATGCAGTGTGAGGGTTGTGTTTGCATTTTTCGTTCTCGTCATTGAATGAATGATAGTTAGTATTCTAGACATTGTTTGCAACTGGTATTGGTTCTTAATTTTAGATTTTCTGCATACAAGATATACTAAGGAAATTAGATATCGTAAATTGAATCATGCCAATCCAAGGGGACATCTACATACACTACAAGCTCCACACCTCTAAAATTTCCGGTGAGCCACATTCCTGCTCATGGTGCAGGTGTAGTTTGTGATTCACATTCACTCGAGGCATCACACCTCTGCTTATCCACCAATGTAGCTTTATTGACCTCAAACCAATTTTGTAGAAAGATTTATTGGATGAATGTAGCTCTTTTGAACTCTGAAATTTGCAGCAGGCCAACCAGGGACTGCTGTGGGTCTCGGAAAGAAACTTAAACCTTGATAAAAATGTGTTATGGAGACTATGATATTTAAGAAACTAAGACAAGTCTTTAAGACAAGAATTTAATGGGTGTCTTGTGGCTCTGATTACTTTCAAGATCTGGTATACTTTGTTTTTACTTCCATTTTTCTGTCACTAAGATTTACACACTGATTCTTATTGACCAAAAGTCGTGTACATATAAGCACCTCAACTAGTTTGACTTATAGCACTACAACTGGTTGAACAATGACCCAAACTGTTACCATTTTCTACTTAAAATGCTAGTTTTTGGTTGATAGATCTTTATCTGCTGGGACATTATGGCTTGTTGTTTGTTGTATTGATCTTCTCATCCCGGAAGAAATAATCATCTTTTGTTCTCTTTTACTGCAGCAACATGCCCATATTCCTAAATTTGGAAATTGGGGAAGTGATGGTGGTCTTAATTACTCACAGTTTTTTGACAAGGCTCTCAGGGAAAGAAGTGAATTGGAAGCAAAGAAATTGAATCATCGTTATGACAACCCCAATGCCTTTCATACAGAGATGCCGACAGTTCATGCCCCATCACTTGGGACTTCACCTTATTCAATAGCTAATGGTGTGCTACATTTAAGAGGAGAAGATGGTATTCATCAACTTAATGATTCACCTTTCCATCGTAATTCTATGGCTTACAAACTCACCCTAGACTCACTTCATCAATCAACTTCAGGTGATTATCAAAGGACTGGTAGAGTATGTGATGGATCTGATTACAGAGTCAATCACTCTCCAACACGTCCCAATTATGATATGAAGATTGGTGCATGTTCTTCTTCCAAAGGATTGTCAGGAGGTAGCCGTGCGGTCACTTTGAGCTCTGCAGGAAAATTGAGGATGACTGGTGTTCAATATGATAAAATAGTAAGTTTAACGTTTCATTCAATTGATAATTTGGGACAAAAAGTATATAGTCAAATTCATACCAGTGAATCTTTCTTGTAGCAGATGAGCAAGGGGTCAGCTATTCCCAAGTTTGGTGACTGGGATGAGAGCAATCCTTCTACGGCTGATGGTTATTCACGCATATTTAACAGTGTGATGGAAGAGAAACAAAGAGTGTCAGCTGAAGTTTCTCAAGTATCAAACGATAAGACATATGACAAGGATCATGATAGCAACCATGAGCCCTCAGTATGTGACTTTATATATTCTTATGCATATGTCTGTCGTTAAAATTTCTATCAGAATTCTTTATATGGTTTCAATACTCATGGTGCTGATACTGGCTGGGTGCTGTATATTCCGGTTTATCTACTTTAATATTGAGATTAACAGTAGATAGTTTATCATTTTTGCTGAGATAGACAGTAGATAGTTGTTTAAGAGAAAGAATTCTTATTGGTCTTAAAAGACTTTTAGACACTTGAACATGAAATACTTGACACCCTACTTTGGTTTGTTCACATCAGACGTTCGTCATGGTTAAATTAGTTTCCACCTAAATATTCAAATCTGTGTGCATCTTGAGCATTGCATCCAGTTCATGTTTCAGGAATAGCTGCTTTAATCATTATAAATTGATTAATTCAGGTTTGAGATGTAACCACTGATATCTTTGTCTTCTTATCTATCTTGTAAATCATCAAAATTTGAAATTCTCATGGATGGTATAATAACTATTATTACTTGCTCATCATACAAGTGTTGCATGCTCCACTTAAATGTGCCCAACAAATGCCATTCCAGTTTGTTTACTTCACGTGGAGTCTTGACATGTGGTGCTAGTTCATACTTCACATGAAAGGCTTGGTGAAGATAAACCACTTAGGATGCGAATTTTAAGACTAGAAAGACAAAAAATTAATTTGTCTATAAAACTTGATAATTCACAATTGATAACTTGGGTTTAAGTACCATGCCTGAAAGACCTGTTCTATGTAATTAACCAAGCTTGTGGATCTTTTGACTGTTGTAGATGCTGTTAGAGCAGTCAAATGAGCCTGTTTGTGTGGGTCAACATAATCAAAGCTAGCTTGGCGTCCAAGACGTGGTCAATCTTAAGTCAACGACGGGAGTAACATTACTAAGTTATGCGAAAATTAGTGTGGATGGAAGTTGTCTTGATTTAGCTCCATGTCGAGAGTCATATGTAGAAATCTGATTAAGCTGTCAGGATTTTTATTAAAGTAGATTGTGACACCCCAATAATTCCATATGATATAGTAAGAGGCAGCCTAAATACTACTCGACCTCAGAGATTATTTCTGAGTACTGTTCCTTGGTATGTAAAGCCCATGAAGATATAGTCATGAGTAACAGTTTGGCATGTTCTACCCCTGAAATTTCAACTTTTAACCTTAGTTTGTTGTTAAAGCCATTCAAGTGTTTTAGCCTTCGCATGCCTGCCTATCTTTATTGGTAATCTCAACCAAATTTATTCATTGCTTGCTAGAATGTCAATTTCATGTATAAAACATGTAAAAATTGAGTTTATTGGTAGAATTCCGATAAACATATTTCTCATCCTCTTTCTTCTGTTCTCTTGACAGGGTTGTTGGTGCTTTCACTGGTGCAGAAAGTAGAAAGAGCTCCTTAATAGATCATGAAGCTTTGGTCTTGTAAATAACCACTAGAGGAACAACACACTTTGTTATTGCTTGTGTGTGCCGGATTTCTTCAGAGGTGCAATCTGTTTATGCTGTGCCTTCTGATAGTAATCAAACAATGGAGAGTAGGTCATATGGCATTGCTTGTGTCCAGTCTCGTATCTGTGACACTACAAAGATCACAATGTTGCAGATTGTCTCAATGTGTCTTCATGAGTTGGTATCATAAATCCACCAGATTCATGTTCTGTGTGGCATCGTGGATGAGAATAGTTCTTCGAGCAGTTAGATTCTCTTTGTTAAGCAATTAATGAAGTTTTGGTTTGGGAATTCCAATTGAATTGTATGTGCCGGGCAAGATGGAAGGTTGTCACTTCTTTGATCTGATCCACTCCATCACCATCACTGGGTTACAATTGCTGATTTCTTTGCCGGGAAAAAACCCCATCGACCAATTGTTTAGTTGATATTGATCAATATATTATTGTAGGTGGGTGTTAGGACTTTCATGTAAAATATACCTAATCGATCCTTATTAAAGACGTGAAGAGATCGACTAAGGTTAGGATTAGTTTGAAGATTACTTCTTAGAAAAGCATTTGGAGTTGATTAGAAGTAGGAGTCTTGAGTAGAAACACTATTAGGAGTTGGGATTTTTTTAGTCGTATTTAAGCAACAATCTAGACGAAGAAATCCCTGTAGAGTTTTAAAAAGATAGACGGAAAGGAAAGATAAATGTTAGGGGTACAATAGGGTGTAGGATAAAATAAGAGGTTATTGAGAAGAATGAATGGAAAAACATATAAAATCGATAATATAAATACTAAAATTATATTTTTAATATTTTTAAAAATATTATCAATATTAAAGGGGTTGTGAATACTAAATAGATGAAAAAAAGATTTTAAATAAAATTATTATTATTATTATTATTATTATTATTTTAAATGTCGTATCTGTGAAATTTACGAGAGCCGTAGGATTTGCAGGCTCATCCATCCACCACTCGACGTGTATGCCCTGCGCCAATATGGTCCGTTGATCTCATGAGGTGGTCCAGATGGAGCAAATCCAGCGACGGCAAAAAACCGGGCCACGTATGCGCTCACATCAGCCCAACGGTCTGGCACGGAACCGGCTATATAACCGGCGACGTGAGCAGGGATGAGCACGATATCAAACTTTTGGTCTCGCCCTCTGCGTTTCGCAGCTCCTCGATCCATCTCGATCGTCTGCTAAAACCCTAGGGAAGAATTAGGGAACAGCGCCCCGGTTTGTCTCGGCCCGATCGTCCCGAATCTTCGATCGGTGCTGGTGGGTGAAATTTCTCGGTGTTTCTCTCCGGCGAAATCTGAGTTCGTTTTGGGATTTATTTGAATCTTTTAAGATTTTGTCTTTATTCACGTTTGGATTTGTTATTTCGTTGATTCAATTTCTTTTGCCCCTTTTTGTTTCTTGGCTGTCATGCCTTTCTCTTTTTGTTCTTCTAATCTTCTTTTAGATTTCGAGTCTTTGTTTCGAGAAATTTTTCTTGAGAAGAACTTGGGCTATTTGGATTTTCTTTATCGATTATACGATTAGTGTTGGCGCTGTTCTTTCCCGTTATTCCAATTGTAAAAAAAAAAAAACAATAGGCGAAAAAAGTTGTCTTTTCTCTATCTTCTGCACAAATTGTTCTTCGATGAAAATTTTGGATTGATTTTTATGCTGTGATGCTTTTGGAAATTTAGGTTTTACTGTATTGATATAGAACATGAGCACCCTTGGACCATCAAGGCAGGGTTCAAAGAGGCACGCGAGGGATGGTATCCACGCTAAGATGGTTCCGAATTTGGATCTGAACTTTCCTCCGGTGGAGTGCCAGCAGTGTGATGGCACTTCTGGCTCTAGACATCCACAGATTTCTCGAGGAACATCTTTTTCCGCTGTTCCTCATCCCAGCCCTGCTAGTGAACAGCAGCAAGGGTCCTCTGCACCATCAAGTGACCGTTCACACAGTGATTTTATTGATCTAGAATTGATGGAGGATGAGGTCGTGACTCTTTCTTCCTCGAGAGGGCTACCCCTGGTAATTCCTAGTCTCTTGGCTTATTATATACTAATACTTGTCTATGCAGAATTGTATTATCTTTTCTGTCGTATTTGAATTCGTAAGATAAGACACTTGCTTTTAGCATCAGAATATTTATTTTATCTCTGGAGTTTAACTGTCTTACCTTTGTCTTTTCAACTTTCTTGTAATTTTCTCTTTTGTATTTGAATTCCTGTGTAGCCTGAAACTCTTGCTTGCTTTTATCATATTTGAACATTTATTGTGTACTTTTGTGTACTGTAAATTGCATCATTCTGAGTAGATTGAAGAACTTGGTTTTTAGGAGATTTGAGCAATGTTCTTATCTTTGCAGTCATGTACTATATTATGTTGTATATTGAGTTCCTAGGTAAGCTAACACTTATTTACTTTTAGCAGATTTGACATTGATCTAATCTTTGAAGTTATAGTATAAAGCCCTCATATATTAGCATGATATTCGCTAACATTATGATATTTTTTTGTTTAACTCTAAGGGTTTTTTATGCTTTTTGTTATTTCTTTTATCATCATGCTGTAACTCCTACGTTGACTTGGCTGATTGTTGTTTCGATCTATTTCTTTATCTTATCTTTTCCCCTGTTCTTCATTTGATTTTTGTTCTTATCGGTTTAGGGGAGGAATCACTTCAGAAGGAACCAGCCTGTGACAATGATCCTAGAGGAAGACCTGGAAACAAATTTGAGACAACCAGGTCAGTATATGCCAGAAACTGCTGTTACGTGGGAATCAAATAAACTGAGGCATGTGCTAGTTGGAAAATAAAATTTTCTTTGTTGTGAGAATCATTTATTCATACTGTAGTGGTTATTTATTTCTTAAATGACCTTTTGCTTTTTTTGCATAGATATTATTTTAAAGAAATACTAAGTTTTTGATCGTCATACACATCTAAGAAGATCATTAAAAGTGTTTGACATCGTCAGTAAGTTAAAAGTATTTCTTAAATTCAAGTTCATATTTGTTTTGTTTAGAAGTAAACATCAATTGTATAAGGGCAAAAATGATGTCATTTGAGGTTTGCAATAGGTTGTACTGAGAGAAATTTATTGTGTCAAAATCTGAAATAAATTTGAGTTTGGGTTGAAGGATTGATACAGGTTTTTTAATGATCTGTGAGTTGGATAAATGAATCTGGAGGGCTAAACAGTACATTCTTAAGCTGTGAGTCTCACATTCTTTTTGTCTAGAGACATGATATTTACTGTTTGAAAAAACTATTTTGTCAGGTAGTAGCCTGACTCCTGAGGCATTTGACCAACGAGGGCGAGTTACTCAACCACACAGAAATGTTGTACTTTGGTTTCGCTTGAAGATTATTTAGACTGTCTATTTATATTGATCAATTTCAATGGTTGAATAACTTAATATCTAGCATTCTTGTGATGTATATTGACATTATTTTTGTGTGATCATATGGAAATGAGAATGTTGTGGACAATGAATCAAGTAGAGGGACTAAAGGTGATCGGTGGAATTAAAGCATAATATAAAATTAACAATATAAGCCATTGTATAATTTGTGACGTTTGATTTGATCTGGTTTGAAAATAATAGGAAATAGAAGTGTACAGTCTATCTTTATTTTCTAAATCTTGTAATCAGAATGTTTTATCTTAAAATCCAAACTGAATAAAACAGCTTATTTGGTAGGCAATATAAAGAAAGTTTTTGCATGTATGTAAAAGGTAATTATTAATAGTTTTTTTGAATTTTTTTAGCTGTTCGATGTTTGGTCTTTGGCTGTCCTCCAACTCCTCCTCTCTTTCTGTCTCTTCCTAGATTTACTGATTTGGTAGAAATAATATTGTACATCATGAGGAGGATGGATGTCATGAGGGTGATTATGATGGACAAGAATGTACCTTTGCACTGAAAAGAAAACTGATAATGATTATCGTATCAATGTCTTACCCATTGACAATGACAAGTTCCTTGAAGGATTTTCCAAGGTAAAAAGCACATTGGTGATTCTCTTTGTTTCAAGGTTCACAATATTGACATTATCCTGGTATAGCCTGTGTGATCTGCTTAGTGATGATCCAGATGGCTGGATAGTATTCCCATTTAAGTTGGAAAGTTATTTAAAATAAAAAAAGATAATACTAACTATTAGACTATAAATAAAAAAATCAAAGAAAAATAAAAAGGTTAAGAAACTTATAAAACTGTACTGTAGCAACCGCATCGAAGTGATAATAAAGGACTCGTGCGGTTGTTATTAATATATATCAATATTAAGCATATCTACTGATGATTTGATAGTTATCAATATTATGTGGCTTATTTTTAGGGAGTAGTTTGTTTATTATAAAAATAATCAAATGGGGGTGAGAGGTGGTGAAATAATCTAGCGATTCTTTGGCCCCTAAGGTAAGGTATAGTTTGAGCTTTTCTTCGTTCTTCGTCTTTAGCTTCTTCTATTACACAAGTCAGTTCGAATCATGAAGAACCAATCACTATTGGTTTAGGTAACTTTAGCCGATTTTAGCCCCTTTTTGTTTCTGGCAACCCAGTTGATCTATCTCAAGATATCAAAGAAATTGTTTTGGCTACTGCAGATTCTTATCCATACTGAATTGTATATTCCTGCAAATTATGATATAGAAAAACATCACATCCTGAGAAATTTGATTGGTCTGCTCTTAATGTCTACTATTGTTACTGTGTCTACTATTATTACTGTCATATCTGCTGTTATTCATCCAGTTACTGGTGTTAGCCTGACATTTGTCCATTTTTAAGTCATTATTGTAGAGGAACAAGTGGCAAAATCACCTATGAACACTCGTAATAAGCGGGCTAGAAGTTCGATGAGCAGGACAGCTATTGATTGTGATCATTATCCTGATTTGGAAGAGGAGCATAATGCCAAGGTAAATGTGTTTGTTCTGTATTTTTCTTTGCAATACTAAATATAATTTTCTGTTTATCTATCTATTATTTCTTTTATTATAATGGTAAACAATTTAATCGATTTGTATTTCATCTAAATGACATCGGTTGCTTATTTTCTGGAGGGTTAGTAGATCAAAGTTCTTCACTTGACTAGGCTACACCTTAAATGATCTTTAATATTTTTAACTTCTGACTTCTTATTATGCTAATAATCATTATTCATGAAATGAGCTCTTCTTTTTTTGTTCAGATGGCAATAGGTTATCACATTTTTCTATACTGGGTTTAAGAAATGGAATTGCTTTCGCAAGTACATAAGTTACATATATTTGAATGTTTAGTTAGGAGTCAGGGAACTTGATCGTTTGGTTATGAACCTTGTGTTTTCTTTTATTCTGTTCTGGGTGGCATTTCTTGAAAATGCAAAATTTAAAAAGAGGAGAAAGAATTGAGGTATTCATTTTAGCTGAGTTGACTCTTTTGTGAGTTCATTGGAATTCATTCAATAAAGGATGTATTCTGAGCTTATGAGTTACAGGTCTCAAGGGATTAATTAGAAGCTTATTCATGCTTCTTGTTGAGAAAACAATCCACTTCATTAGCTATCTTTATCCAGGTTTTCTATCCCCTTTATGTAATAAAGAATTGAATAGTCATACTTAGTTCACATCTGCTCCCACAGTCCCACTCAAACTCTCAAATCACTTTGAGTATGTTCTTTTGAGTTAATTGTCTATCAATGCATCTATTCCTAATTCTTTATTAAGTGAAAGGCAAGAATAGCAATTGTTGGAATTACTCTCTTGGTTTTTGGCTTCATGATGTTTGTCTCTTTTTCTTTCAGAATCTTCTCATGGTAATATGAATCTTGAGAAGCTCCATTGTTGGAATATCATGTGACAGTTGATTAATTGAAGGACTGGAAACTCTATCAGCATCATTTTGGGTGGTTGGTGTTTCTGATCAATATATTGCATGGTTGAAGGAATTTGGTGCAGCAGTATCATAGACCATGTTGAACGATAAGAGTAGCATGTTAGAAAGGGTAATGAGTAGTTGTTTCCCCAGGAAGACACTAGCGTCTCACCCTTTTGCATTATTAAATTTGTAACATGATATGTATATAGTTTTGATTATCAGTATCTAAATGTCTTGTGGCACTTCAATTGACATGCATAGGATGAGAAGGCCTAGTATCATATCTAGCATGTGACTCGTAGTTCATCAATCTTTTGCTAGTCATGCAGTCATGCTGCAAGTACTGAAATAATTAATCGATTGAGGTAACCTACTTTTGAGTGCTTCAGCAAGTAAGATTTAATACAACTGGCCTGCTATCCAGAGCAAGTTTATGCTAGGCTTAGATAACTAACCTGGATCATTCATAAACATGCCCTCAACCAAATACTTGTCCAAACCAAATGCTAATCCTTATGTGCTTAAATTGTGGAGTAGTCTCTTCTGTCTTTTGTCAAGATGGTTCGCATGTTGCATCCTTGCAACAGTAGTGGTGTCACATCAGCTATTATAGCATTCTTAACACAAAAAAAAAAAAATTATTAAATTTGTCCTGTAAAAGGGTTCAAGTCAGGACCTTTTCCCTATTTGTAGCTGCTATGCAACTGGTAATTAGTGAAATTCCTACAAACAAGAATCTGAAAGATGTCATGTAGAAAAGGTTTTAAATTTCGGTCCGGTGCCACCAATCGGTGGCCAAACCAGTACGATGCCCTTGCAAGTTTGCCATAATGGTACTTGGTATGGTTTGAAACTGCCCAACACTGGTTATCTTTCAACCATATAAGTTGACTTCTGCATTTTGAACAAAGTCCTTTACAATTGAAAAAAGAAAATTATTGTCAGGCCTTTTGGAGTATTGTCACTTATTAAATTGTTGGTCCAGTGGAGGCTTGAATCTTAAACCTTTTGTGGGTAAGTGGGTAACAACAATATGAAGAAGAAGCAGAAACCATTCTTTTTTGACTACTTGAAATTGGCTGTGTGAATCTTTTCCCTTCGGTCCAGCGAAGGCATGTATACCTTTTGTGGGTATGTGGGTAACAACAATAAGAAGAAGAAGAAGCCATTCTTTTTTGACTACTTGAAATTGGCTGTGTGAATCTTTTCGCTTTCTTGAACTCAGTTGAGGGCTATGTGAGAAATCAAGTTAATAGGAACCAAGCAAGATTCTTGTACTTTGGAGTTACAACCTAGCTCGATGATAAATCTTGAAAGATTCACATTTTCTGAAAAGATGTGACAAAGTCTTTGTTGGTGTCAACATTTAAATGTCATGCTGGGAATCAACAAGGAAGAAGATTAAACAATAAAAATGCATAGTCAAAGTTATCTTTATGATCACAAGGTAAATGGTAATATTTTATATATGGTTCAAAGCAAGGTTTTCAATTTTGGGTATCACACCCATCCTGGTCAATGGACAGACCATTACAGCTCCAATCCACTCTGACATAACAACACATGGTACACTAGAACGTATCAGGGTACCGATGTGTTGGTAGGGAGGGAGGAAGGAGGAAGAAGGCAGGGAAAGGAGGACGAAGAAGAAGAGGAGCTAGAAGAGGCAGTGGAGAAAGAGGGGAGGAGAAAAGGTTTAGGAGGGTAAGTATCATAAAAGAGGTTGATGGGCAGGTGGCAGGTGATTGGGTGGAAGTGGCCACTCAAGCATAGAGATGAGAGGTCTTGTTAATTGTGAGCCCTAAGAGAAGGAGACCTAATGATTTTTTTTATTCAGACCAGACCAAACTACGCTAAATGGAGCAGTCCGCATACTGGTTCATGCCTGTACCAGTAAATTTTTTGAACCAGTCAGTATGGACTGGTTGATGAGAAATCAAATACCTTGGCTTGAAGGGAAACCATCTCTCTTGCTGCATCAAATTGAATTTTCTGTTAGGAGATGAAGGTTTCCTTGGTTGTTGCTAGTCTAAATATCACATTGCCTTGGAAAAACGATGTTCTAGAAACAAATTATTCTTGGGATTTGATGCAAGAACATAGTTCTCTATGATTTTTTTTTTCAACAATATTGTAGGAACGAATGATTCTTGGGACTTGGTGCAAGAGCATAGTCCTCTCTGAGTGTTTTTATGATAGGTAGATGGGATACTTTGACCTTTCCGAGGTAACTGTGGCATAAATAGTTACTGGGATACTATCATCTGATGCTGCAACGCATATTTTGTGATTCAGTTGCTGGTCATAACATAAGCTGCTTAATCAATAACTTTTAAGTTATCCACCTCCACAACCATAAAAATTTTATTTTCCTTTGTGTTTCTGCCTTTTGTTTCTCCTTTCTAGTGATCGAACTTGTAGTTAAAGATTTTAACTAGATTCTGACTTGGAAATTGCAGAGAAAGAATGTGATTAAATCCAAACCGGAGCCTGTTAAGGTACTTACACGGGAACCCATCTTCACCTGCCCTGTCTGCATGGATGCATTGGTTGAGCCAGCGTCAACTATTTGTGGTCATATTTTCTGTCTAAAATGCATAAAAGCCTCCATTCAGGCACAGAAGAAATGCCCAACTTGTAGGAGGCAACTTACCATGAAAAGTTTTCATCGTGTGTATCTTCCATCATCCAAGTAGTGCAAGTTCAGGTGTAGTTTTCTTGTGCTGCAGGAGCATCCTACTAATCCCATTTATGTGTTCCTGAATTCTTACTTGATGGTTTTACGTGTTTGATTCATAGATCATGTCCACTTAAGTTCAAGATCAATGTTCCCAAATGTGTTTGAAGCTTTTTTCTGCTGTATGTTATATAATTAAGCAGCTGTACCTGTTTCGCAATCTGATTTCACACCAAAACTCTTACAAGTCATCGGGTTTCATTCAGTATGTGGGAAAGTTCCCATGGCTTGAGTGCCTGCACAAACAGCATGAATTGGCACACCCAGAAACTTGGTTCTTTTGCCTTTTGAGTGCTGAGACAAATCTATCAAAGCTAGATGTGAGATTATTGAGACGATTTAGCGATTGTCTTATGTTTCATCTGATAAAATGTTTGGTTCTCCCTTGCCCTCATATCCTGTCTATTTATGATGCCAGAAAATGCAATCCACATGCTTATGGTGCTTCTTTCTGGTTTTCTTTGTTGAATTAAAGTCTTGCAAGTGTTCCGAGAATTCGCCAATTTCTTAAGTGAGCATATCATCCAACTCTTCCCAACTCTTAGTTATGTTTTCTTCTTCCCTCACTTTTTGCTTCTATTGGCTTCAGATTACTATATCCATATGCGGGTGATTTTGGCATTGCATCTCTGATTGCCTGTTGTGCCTTATCACTTTTTTGTCTGTCTTTTTAGTGCCAAAATGGCACTTGTGAGGCTGCTTTGACAAATCTAGCACTTAATTTGTCGGAAATGTGACAAATTTCTCATATTTTCTACGAGCAGAGTGTTCGTCCATTCTTCCACAAGGAAACACAACATGATATATATATATATGCATGCGCATATAGTTCAGAACATGGAGAGAAAATAATATAGGTGGCTTTGAACCTGCAAATAGAGAGTTTGTTTTTGCTCTTAGAAAATAATTATCAGTGTTGCACAGAGAAATAAAAGCTTCTCTCCCGCATTAGAAATGTGATAAATCATCCAAAAATATGATATTTTTGGAAGATGTCATAAACATACTGATGTAAGCTGAGCGATTATTTTTGCTTTAAATTTGTAAAAAAACAAAGTCAAATTAAAGATCTCTCAAACCTTTCTTCCATTTTAGAAATAAGATGAATTGAAAAACTATATGATAATTTTGGAAGATGGCATATAAAAAGGTTGCACGCTATGATGCAAACAGAAAGGTTACTTTTCCTTCAGAAATACCTATCATTATTGAACAAAAAAAAGAAAAGAAGAAGAAGAGTGTTTTCTCAAACCTTTCTCCACTATAGAATTAAGACAAACTATAGTTGAAAAAGTTGCTTAGGATGGTTTTGGAAGATGACATAAAAAGGTTGCACATTATGATGTAAGAAGAGAAGTTGTTTTTTTGCTTTAGAAATATTTATCATTATTGAACAAAAAATAAAATAAGTGCTTAATCCTTCCACCTTAGAAATAAGATAAATTATAGTTAATAAAAAAAAATGGCATTGCTACGATGATGATGTAATTTTGTATTTATTGGGTACAAATTATTATTTTGAAAAATTAAAACAAATATGTTGTTGGAAATCAAACAGAGAAACACCTATGTTTGAATCACATTAAGCTTCAAGTCATGGTCAAATAAATACCATGACTCCCCCCCTTCCCACAAATTTTCTTTTCCAAAATTAAATTTACCAATAATCAATTTAAAAATTCCACTCTGGCTTGGTTTGGTGAAAGCATTGGTAGGCCATCCTGCTTTGGTTATGTAAAAATACTGGCAGTCACTCTAAAAAGGAATTGATGTGCTCAATGTTGACATGCCATTGTGGATATTAAACATACACAACATTTTAAGTTCAACAAGATGACAGAAAAGAGCAAAGGCTATGTTTCATATGCATCAATTATTCCACTCAGACAAACAACAGCACTTGTCCATGGGCAAAAAGGGGACAAAAGAGAAAGCATAAAGACATGAACCTGTCCATCTCTGTAAAACCAACTTATGCAGCAAACACCTGCTCATAAGATGATACTTTGATAGCTTGAAGAGAATCTACAGCTCCCCTCCCAACTCATCCATTACTCGAACAGAAGAAAAACAAAACATGGACTTGAAGTTACTTTCACAAATAGCAAATCGACAGCATTGAAAGGACGATGTAACATTCTATTTGATGCTCATAGCTGCACTTCCCTGTCATAGATCCAACTGAAAGGTATGGCCGGTGCTTTCTTGGCCCTCCCTTGTGCTCTTTCTTCGAGCCTCCGGATCCTCGGAGCTAAAGTGCAGACAAAGTCCTGGGCTTTATTCCCTTCACCAGAGAGGCCAGTTAGCTCACCTACTTTCCACCTTGTGACAAGGAACTCCAGTATGTCGGCATAGTCCTTGGCCGTGTAGATGCCCAGCCGCTGGGCAACTGCCGAAAAATGCTCAAAGAGGTTATCGTCACGACCATCGTACATCAGATGAGCAGGCATTGAGATTTTCTTCTTCATCATGTCGGCAAATGCAAGAACAGTGCCATCTGGGTCTATCTCAAACAATTTCTCCACTATCTTAGTGTATGCAGTCTCATGGCGCTTCTCATCAGATGCAATGATTCCACATATCTGTGCCAATTTGAGATCACCATGCTCCTTGGCAAGCCGGGCAGTGTTCCCATGGGATATGAAGGTTGCCCGCTCCTGAAACGAGGTATA